AATACAACAATTTATTTTGGGAACAATCACTAACTTTTAACTTTACAGCTTGAGTGGCCAAATTGGGTTGTACACCTGTTAATTGGTTGCCATCTCTGCCCGTTCAGGTGGGCGGGAAGAAAGTTCAATTCGAGAACTTAATAAAAACAAAAATTAAATAATAATAAAAAATGGGAAAAAGTGCAATTAACGGAAAGCATTTTAAGCGAAATACATTGTTCAATTTGGGGCGTGGCTAGCTGGCGTGGGCGTGGCCAGGTGTTTTCTTTGATTGGGAAACTTTCCGTGCAGCAACTTGCGCAAATTGCAAATGGTTTAATTAAGCGCAACAATAAGAGTGTCATTATAATCGTCGACAGCCATAATAATAAGGGCAAGCGCTAAACGTCGAAGGGAGCATTGCTCCAATTTGTGGGCGCGACACGCCCAACTTTAAGTTGAAGTGCGATTGCAGACGGTTCGCATTGAATAATTAAAATTTTAGCCAGCAAATGACTGTGATGCGGATACACACAGTGGAGCTTGACTAAGGCGGCGAAGACACTTTTAAAGAGCTAAAAGTTTGGAGCTCGATCGAAGAGATGTATGTATAGTACTATACAATATACGCTTTTGTTAGTCATTCGTTGCGGAAACTGTACCAGAGTTTTCTAGTCTAAAAAACAATGTTGTGTTTGGCTGTTTTAGACGAGGGGTTTTGGGTTAGGCCAGGCCAGCGGAGGCTCTTCAATATTTTAAACATCCTCCGCTGAGCGACTTCTGTTGCGCCAGTGAAAGAGAAAGCGAGACAGAGACTGAGCTGCAAAGAGTACATGACGTTGATTCGTCTAAATAAAGGCGTGCGTCGTACGCACACGCAGCCACCCATTCACACCCATTCACACCCACTCGCGCCCGCCCACACGGTGGGCGGCTGTCGGTCAGCTAATGAGACCCGACCGCTGCTGCACCAAATCAGCAACTGGCGGCGCCTCAAATTCTGCCTTTGCCGTGCCGTCATTTGGCAATGTCGCAAGATGTGGGCACCCCGAGTCAGGGCTCATCTCGGGCCGTGGGCAAGCATAATCTGAGGGAATCTGGAGCTAAGGCATGTGCTGCCGTGCACACTTTCAGCTTGCCCCATGGCTGGCTGGCTCTTTGTTTGTCCAGGCAGCGGCGCTGCAGCTAGATTCAAATGCAGCAGCTGCCACTTGGGGTGTGGCTCAATTACAACAACATCGAGGAACATGTGCGGCATGCAGCAGCGGCGGCAGCGACGGCGAGCGGTGAGCGGCGAGAGGCATGCGGCATGCGGCATGCAGCTCTTTTGAATAGAAAACAACTGAGGCAAAAGTGTTTCGGCACTTTCTACACATTTTGTTGTTGGGCTCGTGTTTGTTTGGGTATTTGGAAAACATAGTGTAGCATTATACTATATATGTATACAAAGCAGCTGATGAACATGTCACAGGCGAGAGCAATGAAAAACACTTTTGTAAATTAATTAAACTATTATCTAAGGAATTTAAATATAAATTATACCAAAGTTTGCAGAGTAATACAATTTCAGTCGATTGCTAGCAATCATGCTATACTCTGTCTACTCCTCCTAGAATACTCTACAAAAACATCCAAGAATATTTGATGTATAGCAAATATGACAACTGCCTTGGACAGTTACACACACACACACATAAATGTATAGATATACATTAATATGTGTATGTATGTACATATGTGTGTCTGTTCTTTCGCATCACCGGAAATACATATAGACACGTTTAGCGCCTGCTAAATCGGGTTTTGAGAGGGTCTCTATTGACACCCTGTGAACGTCTGGACACTATGATGATTCACAATTTGAGGATTTAGTTCTCTGCTGAAATTTGATTGATTCGCTATGCACTCAAAGGGCATTGTTATTGTTGTTATTGATTAAAGACATTAGGGATACTGAGTAAGTGGTAAAACATTCAATATTATACAAACATTTATACATTTTTGTATCATATTGCAGTACATATAACTTGAAGATAGCCTATACAAGCTAGGGAAAAACAAGTAGAAGTACTCTCAAAAAAATCGAAATAAAACAACTGTGCTTACGATATTTAGGATAAGAATTGTCGACAAATAGTCTGTAACTAATATGGTAAGGAATATATAAATGCCTTTATGTAGCTTTTATGACTTATATGAACTCTGGGTTCACATGGATGAACGGACAGAAGGAGGTGGATAGTCGATTGATAATCGTCTGCCATACCTTTTCGCAAAACCTCTATACCCTAAACTTCTATTTTCAATGGCATCAGTGTATAATAAAAGAAAGTGTTAATAAAGCAAATATTTCTAATACTTTATTTCTATATCTATATTCAGGAAAATATATTTATCTATGATGCTTTTTACTTTTCTTTTTTAGCCATAGCCAAATAGGAATTGCTTATTCAAGTCATCTCAACTATTTGCGTTTGGTCCCGAGGCGAAAATATTACTTCCTGTCTTTTTTATATTCATGTATATATATTTTTTTAGATTTTAATGGTATTCTACATATTTCTATAAATATATTTTTTCAAACTTTAATTGTATTCTTTAAAAAAAAGGGAGCAATAATAAATTTTCAGTTTTGTCCGGGAATCCAGTTGAATTAATTTCGAATTGAAATACATTTCGTATAAAAAGAAAAAAAAAAAACAAGACAAACCAGAAAAAAGTAACCCTAATACACATACAATTCCATTTTCAAATTCATGCATATACATGTATTCTTCCTCAGGGGTTGTGGTTCTACTTTGCTCAGTTTCATATATGAAAACACAGAAAACTTGAATGATTTTTTAGTGATATTTATGACACTGTAATGTGAATATATACTGAAATAAAAGGTACCTTTTCTTATGTGTAAGCTCAAACTAATAGAAATACATGAGCTGATATGATTTGTTAGAGAAGCCTGCAATTGATTTGTTTCTGACTGTTAGCACATAGATCGACATAAGTTCATCAACCTGACACATTATAGGCATTGCCAAGATAATCCATGATGCATATAATTTTCGGACATGCTCCTCCGTACTACTCGTGAATTCAGTGAATAAAAAGAATATACAAAACACAAACATTGCTACAGCTCCAACTCTCGTGTAACTTTTATGGGTTCTCTCTGATAAAAAAAAAAAACAGAGATATTATTTTTATGCTGGGTGCGGACAGGGGGGTGGCTATAAAAAAATGAAAGGAAAGAAAAGAAAAGCAAAAGATATAAACTATTTGCTATGGCTACATACCCTATTCATTTGTTTTCAATGGATGAAGGGATAAAATAAATTAATGGGATCCATAGGATAAAAATGCGCAACATTTTGGCGTATGCACGCGATGGGATTCCATTGCATGCAGCTACTAAGGGCTAGAAGTTGAGGTTGCGCTCTCTTTGCTCTCCCGATAGAGAGCAGCAGAGCGCTATAGCGGCAGCTGGAGTGACAGGGTGCGCTAGCGCGAGCACGCGCGTGCCAATTGTATAGCCATCTCTGTCGCACAGCGGCCATTGCTCTAATTATAGGTTAGGGCAAGCACAGCATAAGACAATGCTCGGATTGGTCGTTGCCATCGCGTCGGCGCGCAGCACGCACGCAACGGGGCGTCGCCAAACGAAACTTGTTTTGAGCGCGTGCTTGCTTTTATGAATGAACCGAAAAAAACACACGCAGAGAGCGACTGAGAGGGAGAGAGAGAGAGAGAAAGAGAGAGTAGCGGCGCCCTCTGCTCGCCGGCTAGCTAATACATCATCATCAGCAGCGCCGGCACAAGCAGCAAACAGCAAACAGCAACAGCAACAGCAACAACAACGGCAATAGCAACAGCGATGATCATAAACGTAGCTCGCATTCGGTGGTGGCTCGTTTTATTGCTGTCTCTTTTGTGCGCTCACACACACAAGAGCTGCGCCAATGTTAGGTGTAACTGCGTCATGATGAATGGGAATGGCTGCTGCTGTGGCAGCGAGAGAGCGTAGCGTCGACGAGGCTGCGGTTTTCGATTGCCTGCTTGCTGGCTGACTGGCTGGCTGACTGGCTGGCTGCCTGAGTGCAGTCGCTGTCGCTGTCGCCGTCTCAGTTTGCCAGCGCCGCACACAGTCGCACAAGCAGAACACACAAATACAACAATTGCAAATCGCGCTCTCTCTTGTTTTGACGCGCCCTCTGCTGTTTGCTGTTGCCGTTGCTGTTGCTGTAGCTATAGCTGAACGACGACGACGACAACGCCTTCGCCTGACGTTGACGGAGCAGTCGCCGCCAACGACAAAACGGGAATGGGCCCAAGCTTTTTGTTTGCGCTGGCATCGCGTGAAACAGTTGCAAGCCTTTGAACGATCAGCGACGACGCTAAAAACTTTTGCGCGGATATATTTTGTTTGTTAGTGCAGACGCCTCCTGTCGCCAACGTCGCCGCCGACGCCTTAGCACAACGCAATATCAGCAACGACATCGACATCGACATCGACATCGACATCGCCATCGATAACAAACAATAACAATAATAACAACAACAATAATTTCAACAATCACATACAGTTTGAAGTGCGTCTTAGTGCTTTTAAATTCAACTTCTGCTTATTTTTTTTTCTGTTGTAAGTTGTCCCACGCGGTTTATTGTTTTGCTTCAGTTCTAACTGTATTCGCACATCTTACATTTGATTCGATCGCGCTGCCTGTGACGATCAGAGGCTGGCGCCAGCGTGTTGCAGTCACGGCTGAAAGCGTGACAGTTACAGTGACAGTGACAGTGACAGTAACAGTTACGGAAATAAGTATTTGCACAGCATAAGATAATAAGCGACAACAGCTACAACAACAACAACAACAACAACAAGAATCAAAAGAAAGAGCAAATGCAAATCTCTCCGAATAACAGTGAAAAGTGAAAGTCGAATCCTCAAGAGAATATTATTTTTTTGTTGCATATTTTTTATTGTTTGCGACTAGCGCGCGTGTTTCTCTCTGTGTGATTCTCTCTCTCACTCTGTGTGTGGTTCTTTCGAGATAGTGGCCTCGTCTTTGGGCGACTTTGAACAGCGAGCGACTTTGTTTTATGTGTGCTTTGTTTGGAATAATCTAGGTTCCTAGGCAAATCCCTTTGCGCGCACGCCTCAAAATTACAACACCAACAGGAAGAAAGACAGCAGCAGCCGAAGCAGCAGCAGCCGCAGCAGCCGCCGCAGCAGCAGCAGCAGCCACTGTCGCCGCAGCAGCAGCAGCAGCTAAAATGTTAACGGACATGACACCAACCGCCGGCCAATTGTACGGCTCACAGATTCCGGCTATGGCGGGCATGAACATCACCAACATTGCGACACATTTGCAGAAACCACAGGTAAATCCGGTAAGTGCTACCAGCCATACGCAAATACAATCCAATTGGCAGCTTCTTCTTCCGCTCTACCTTGATTGATTGTTGAATAGTTAGCAATCTTTTCTCCGCAGGCAGTTTTAGTACCCCTTAGCGCCAAGAGTTGCTAACACCTTGTGCCGATGCTCAGCTATAAATGCAATCGGCCCAGAGCCAACGTCTTCCTTAGGTCTCAATTACGAACTCGAATTGATGAGCTTTTGAATAGGTTACTCTTCCTTTGCTCACCCTCTACATCAATCTTTGGGTATATAAAGACAACACTTTGTCAAAGCTTCCAGTTTTATTTATATGAGCATTTCTCTGCATACGAATGAATCTACGTGAAATTGAAAATCGTGTCTGGTATAAGAAAATGTTTGAGATCGTCAGTAGTATGTGAAGCATATCTGTTTATATGTTTGGCTAATTAAACAGAAAAGACATAAGGATCAAGTTAATAGGCGAGTAAGACACGCCCATTGTATGGCGTTAAGCATATTGAACAAAATTGAAATACATTTCTCTTTTGAATCAAAAGCATTTCATTATCATTCAATATATGTATATATATATTATATATGAATATATAGAATTCTGTATTTAAATACGCAAACAGTTCACTTAAAATGAGAGACTTTGCCTATGCTAGAATTGCTTTTTCATTTCGAAAATTAAATTGAATAACAAAGCTAAAGCATATATGCTGAATATGCATTTATTTTTATATGTGAATAATTCTAGATATATAATATATACAAATTCTTATACTCGTATCACATTATATGTATGTATATGCTTCACATGCATCTACTATATATGTACATCTCGATATCTATAACTTATAGATAGTATATACAATATTTATATATAGCGCTCAAAGATATTTATTTATCTTGACATGATTCGATCAAGTTCGTACGCCTGTTTTGCATGTCATGCACAAATTAGCCTTCATAGAAAAGTGTCCCATTCACCTAATGCATATTAATACACGATGCATACATACGTAGATACACAAGTAGTATGTACGTATGTATGTATGTTTGTCTACAACTATTTAATTATGTATGTGTATAATTGTGCATACACACGTTTCTTATAAAATGTGATGATATTTTTAACTTTATCATAATGGCTCTGACGCGGGCACAGATACAATCGAGCTCTAATTAATTAGATTACATAGTTTTAATGGCCATTGCGATGGCAGATATGGCGGCTCAGGTGTTGAAGCAGACAAATACATGTATTATTATTTATAATACTTTGATGTTTACTGTTCACTGTTTGCTGCTCGTCGATTGTTGTTTGTTGTTTGTTGTTACTTTGCCATGTTATCGCATTTGCATTGGCATTTGTCAGTTGCTTGTCAGAGTTTGTCTCAGCGAGTTTGCGGCAAATCAACCACTTACACGGCAATGAGCCTGACAATACCTTGGACAATGGCAACATTTTCTATTTTTATTTTCTTGTTGCTTTTTGGCAACAATGCCGCAGCGGCAGCAAACGCCGTTAAACGCCATGGCAATTGCCGGGATGCCGCCAGGTACGAGAGCGCTGAAAGGGCCACGCCAGGGCAGGCGCTGGAAAACTCAGTCACCCATGATGGGCAGGGCTTCCTTTGTTGTCTCCCTGCGCGCCGATCAACGAGACTCCATGAATTAAACAAAAACGAAAAAAAAGAACATGTATCTAATGCTGCTGATGAGTCGCTGAGTCCCTCTCTGAGTGTGAGTTGAAGTCAGTTTCGAAATTGATTTGATGCGGCTTGTTCAACGCGTCGCGCTCTGTGTGCAAACGAATTTCACGCTACGGCTTAGTAGCTACGCACATCAGAGATACAGCTACAGCCATAGACACAGATACAGATACAGATACAGATACAGATACAGATACAGTTACAGTTGCAGATACAGGTAGGCGATACATGGCAATTATGTGGGCACTCAGGTATGCGCTGCTTCTGAAATCAATTATTCGAGCTCACTTAGGTGACTCGAGGTGCCAAAGTCAAAGTTGACGTGATTTGCATCTGCGATCGAATGGCGACAAAGGCAGATCGCAGATATGGACCAAGCCGTAGACTCGGGGTTCCATCAGGTCAATTGCTAATGCTAGCTCAGCTCAGCTCAGCTCAACGTATCTGCTCAATCTGCAGATACACTCTGCTCTTCCTCTGACAGGCATTAATGATGATTTTGCCAAATACTCATAGTCGATAGTTAACAAACTGCTTTGATCGCGCCGCCTGTGAAACGTAAACATAAATCGAAACTAAGGCAATGCTACTTGAACGAAATCAATTTCAAAATTCCTAATGATGATGATGATGATTATAGAGAAAAGACCCACACACACACACACATACACACACACACAGCTCCCATGCAGATTATATTTATTTTAGTGATATTTAGAGCAGTTTTTCCAACTAAAAATTACCTACAAAATAACCGAAAAAAAAACAATACTTCAGTTAATAAATGTGATGTAGTTTTTATATTCAAATAATGCTGTATATTCATTCATAAATCAAGATTTATTTTCATTTAGAAATAATCTGAAATTTCTTTGTTCTTCAAGAACATACAGTGGGTTAGCATTAATAATGAATCTTACAACATATAACATTAAAGTAAAAATATTTTTCCTTTATAAATATTATGAAAGTCTTGAATTCTTAGATGAAAAAAAAAGAAGTGGAAATACTTATCATGTCCCCATATATCGCAGTATAGCAGAAGAGGTCGATTCATAGAATAATTTTCATTGTGAAAATGCGAAAATAAGTCTTGTTAGGAATTCGTTACCTTTAACAAGTAGAGTTGATATCGAACTGGTCGGTAATGCAAAAGGTATTGAATAATAAGTATAATAGTAATATTATTCATGTATATTAAATCGAAGTCAAAGCGTTCAATTCAACAGAGCTATATTTATATAAAATACACAAGTTAGCTACAAAGATAACTATAGAAAGAGCTTCATTTTGTTACATTTTATAATTATAAAAACGGTGTTTTTAAAACACTACACTTGAAACGTATGGAGTTAAAACTTAGTAAAAGAAAGAACAATGTTTTTCGAAACTCTAGTATATATCATGTAAACTAATTTATCATCCTAGCAAAAATAGTCTTAAACTCCCAAGAATAATGGAATACAAATAATTAAATTGAATAAAATGTTAAGGTTCCTTTAAATTGAAAGCGTAACAAACTTTTCTTCTACTCGTGGGAGCTGGGAGTATACATTTACTTCCTTGGCTTTTTTCGTATGCCCAAAGTTAAATATATTTACAGATGAATAGAGCAAGGTAAAGACAGAGAAATTATCTGTAAAAAGCACAGCATCTATCTATAATATCTTTACATGGCATATGTCTCTGAGGCATCCATAGTCCGTTGGGGACGCATGCTGACCGAAATTGATAAAGTTTTTAGCCCGGCTGGCAGGCTGGCCTAATTGCATAACACTTTCAATAGAGTTGGCAACGTCCAGTAATGGCCATTAACCATCCGGTCAAATAGGCGCAAAATTGTTGGGAACTCGTCTAAGCTGCCGTGCCGCTCGCACTCTGCGACTACTTATGATGCCTCAGTGAGGTGAAGTGTGTTGCATGGGGCATGGGGCATGGCCAGGCTGTGCCACAAGCAAAAAGTGTAAACGCCACGAAACTACGTGCGTCATTCAAAATGTAAAGCCGCCGAAGAAAATGTTCTAAACGGGGCTAGAACGAGCTGTAGCCGGCTGCTCGCTCGCTATCGAGCTGGGGCCCCGATATGCATATTGATGGAGCGGGCAGGCGCTTATTAAAATTAATACCACATCAATCATTTTACAAACGTGCTGTCGGCCAAGTTCAAAGCCAGCGCTCGGCTAGACTCGACTCTAGACTCCGCAGCGGCCCTGCTCGGCGCTCTAATCTTAGGCTCTGTTTAAGAAAGTTACACATGCGCATTGGTTTTAATTAAAGGCGTTTAAAGACGCGACGCGAAATACAGAAAAAAAAAAAGAAAAAATATTGAGAAAAAAAAATATGATAAATTACCAAGACAAACTGAAATTAACATTTATGCTTGAAACAAAGCACAACATGTGTTTCAGTCGAAGATTCAGAGAGTCAGACGGCCGGACAGTCGGACACTCGGACACTCGGACGGAGTCTGGCAGCAAAGGCAAAGCGGTAAAACGGTACGCGTCCAAGTTGCGGCTGTTAAATTATTGAAAATCATGCAATGCTGTTGCTGTTTTTCCCATGAACATCTCTTGGACTTGACTCGAACCACTCTCTGAACTTGGGCCTGGGTACCGGTACGGGTAAGGGTATGGGTATGGACTTGGGCACTGTCTGTCGGCATAATCAGCATAACAAAAGAAATTAAGCAATAATATATTAATGAAAATACAAATGCACAGCGAGCTGTGAGCCAGCTGGAGCAAGATCGCCGCGTCATTGACTAATTTGTTGTGTTTTCAACACGGTTAGGCGCCAGGGCGTCGCTCAGCGGCAGGGCATCGGTAGCCCTGACTGCCCCGAACAGCAGGCGCCGTCAGCAGATACCCACTCAGTCCGCCAGTCAGCCAGTCAGTCAGCTTATATTTTTCATTCGACTCGTCTATTGTGTACACAGCGAGAAATTATTTCAATACAAACAGCTCAAATAATGCGTAATTGATTTTCAGTTTATACAATTTTATTGAGAGCTGCGATTCCCATAAGAGACCTATTTGCAAATGGAATATGAATTGCTGTTACGCATCGGATCTTCTTGGGTAGATCCAAAATTGAATTCTGATTGAGTAAAGGCCTATGCATAGATGTTATGTACAATTATAAGTAAACAAAACAAAAGTAAGCTATATGTATATAAAAAATATATGCATGTATATATTAAAGTAATCTTTGGATTAGCTCGAATATATAAAGCAAGCTGTGGCTATAATCGATTCCATATTTCAAATTTTTGATACCATATTTCACTTAAATA